ACGCAGAACTAGGTGATCTTTGACAGCCCTTTCAACTTTCAGGTGTCATGGTTTTATGAGAACAAAACTATAGAGGTATATAATTTCAGAGCCCTTTGGAATGGGAGAAGATGGGCTTTGATAATCCAAATATTGACAAAGATGAGGAGCAAGAGGAATTCAGTAGATTGCTGATGGGGACATGAGTTGGGCAATGTTTTGGAACAGTCAGGCAACATTTGGTACAAAGACACACATATGTTTAGGGTCAGAAATTCCATTTGCAGGTATATCCCCTGGACCAGTGATTTCCAACCAATAAGTTGAGAGGCACCGATCCCTCTGTGGGTTGGGGAAGTTCTGTCTCAGGCCTGGGGTCTCTGGCCATGAGCAGCTTCACTCTGAGTTTCAAATCCTATATAGGAATTACCATCTAGTCAATGAAGAAATGTTGCATATGTGGGTCCTATCAGGGCGCAGACTCCAGGAACGCGTGACTCCAGCCTGTGGGTATCTCCTGCAAACCACAGTCTCAGTGCACCCTGGCTGGAAAGAGTCTACCTGGCCCCATGAAGAACTTATCCTCAACAGCTGGCCTTCTAAAAGCTAGCTCTCTATCAGAACTGCCGCCCCCTGGATGGGCTAGCATGTAGAAAGGGGGAAGAGCTGGAGGTATAGGAAGAGAAGGCAAAAAATAAAAGGGGTTAGAGGAAGAAAGGAAACAAGGAAAGAATGAAAATAAGAAGGAAAAAGCGAAGGGAGGAGAGAGGGAGGGAAGAGGGAAAGATGTTAATTGTCTAAATACGTGGCACATTGAATCCGACACTAAACTCTTCAGTTTCTGCTTTGAACCGCAAGGATGTTTGGGTGGGGTGTGTGTGTGTGTGACAGACACACTGGAGCCTCAGTATCTCGACTGCAGCTTTTCTCACTGAAGAAGCCTCTGAAACTCCCTACCCCCACCATCCTTCTAGCCCCCCACCTTTTCTTCTCTTCTCAACTCAAGTGTGGAGCTTGGATTTGGCTAGAATTCCACAACTGGACCTTTCATTTGAAACCTGAGCCTGTTTTCCTGGGCTTCTGAATTTATATCAAGTACCACAGGGGGACTGGAGACCCTTGAATCTAGGTCAGATCACACGGCCTGAATTGATTTTGCTACTGTGCTGCTTCTTCTGTGGCGGCACATTGGACACCACAGTGCTCTCAGGAGAAGAGGAGAAAAGTGAGGGAGAGAAAAGGGATGAGAGAAGAGGGAGAGGTGGGGGAGGGGAGGGAGAGGTGTGAGAGGGGAGGGAGAGGTGGGGGAGGCGAGGGAGAGGTGGGGGAGGCGAGGGAGAGGAGCAGGTTTGGGTGGGAGGGGGAAGGATAGGGACGAAACAGCACCTTTCACTACCCGGGAAACAGCTGAGAGTAAATTCAGATACTTCTCTTACCACCAGCTCAAAGTGTGCTATAAAAAGCAATGCCGTTTATTTCGGTGTTTTGAGAATGAAGAAAAATATCCCATGGTTTTCTACAGTTGTTGCTTATTTTTCTTTACTTTCCTTCTTGTTTGTTTGCTTTAATGCATTTGCACATTTGCAGAGTCCTGCCTGTTTGGGTAAATGTGTAAATGCCTCTTCAGCTCCCCAAGAACAGCTGCTGTCCTTTCCCCCGTGGGGGCCTTCAGCGGAGGTTCTGCAGCCCTGCAGCCGCAGCCCTCTGGACTCAGCCTCTCCTATCCCCGTCCCAGCTCAGGGACAAGCCAGCCAAAGTTCCCAGGGCTGCATCTCCATCCTTTGACTCGGAGTTTCACTGAGTCAATGCTCACATGTGACCAGACGTGCAAATTCTTCTGTCCTACATGTGCCTTGCTCCAGTGAGCAGAACATTCCATTTTGGGGTAGAAAGAGCAGGGTTTTGCCTTTTACCACCTGGGTATTTTTGACTCACTCATTCTGTTTCTCTGAGCCTTACCTCCCAGAGCAGGTGTGACAATGTGATAAAATAATGCTCCTATCAGGGGTTCAATGAATGCTTGTCCCTTCCTCTGCCTTCTCACCTTTCCTAGCTCCTGGGAATCAGATACTGTTAGAACTGGAAAGAACCACAGAGAACAGAACAAGCAATTCATCATCATTATTTTATAGATGAGGAAACTTAGGCTCAGACATCAAGAAGGAAGGGTACACAGTCACACAACTACTCAGAGACAGAGCAACACTTTGCCCCAGTTCTACATTCTTCCCATGACCAAAGAACTCAAGAAATGTGGGTTGATTGATTTATTTTAGAGGTTAAATACTTCTTACTGGTTACTGAAGGCACAGAAACTGTTAACTAAGAATTCAGAGTCAGAGCTGGCCTCTGGACGGTCAGGATGGGCTGGTAAGGATGGGAAAGCATTGTGGTAAAGGTCTGATGGATTTCCATCGGCATTGTGTCCCTGGGTTCTGAGAATTAGCTTATTTTTATAGAAGCTGGAGAGCCAGGGACAAAAAAGCCCCCTTAGAGTGAAATATGACAACAAGTGATATTTAAGGAGCTCTTGCCTCGGAATGATTGCGACAGACTTTGCAAAACAGAAGCTAGAGACAGTGGGTGCAAAACAATGTGGATTTTGCAACCACCTTTGTGTCCTCTGTGGTAGCTGGAGTGTGGGAAAGGCTGGGGTCGCCCCTCCCCTCCCCTCCCTCCTCTTCCCTCTCTGTGCCCCCAGGTGTACAGGGCAAGGCTGAATCACCTTTTGGGGGGCCTCACTCTGGGAGAGCCCACCAAAATGACAACTCTTTGTTTCTCCTTCTGCATCCCAATAAGCAAACTTGAAAGATGCTGTGCAACTGTGGACCTGTTCTTCTCTTTTCTGGGCCCTGGAATTCTAGACTGTAATACAGAGTTTGAACTTCTTGGATATACTGGATGATCGTTGAGGCTTCTTCTAGCTCTAACATTACGAACTTTATGCAGAATTCTGTGCAGAGAAGCATCACCATCATCAGAAAATGGATATAAATGTTCTTTATTTATGCATTATCTTTGCACAGTACCTAACAATTCGCAAGAGCATTTTCATCCACAGTGCAACATTTAACACTTGCAACCACCCTGTGGGGTAAATATTACCAGCTTGTTCCA